TCTGGCCAAGAAAGTGAAAACAGACACTGCGCAGGCACCAAGGTTGAGTACGTGCTGCGATCAAGGCACGCACACCGTAGAATGCCAGCTGCATACTCCCAAAAAGAAAGCTGCAACTCGTCAGTCTGCTGCGAGGATCATCAGACACGCTCCACTCAATCCAGAGCATGCTGTCACTGACGCAGCCACACGCTCTGCAACAAACTCAGACTCAGACTTCCCTTTCTTCATTCCAACTCTACTGACAACCTTCAACGCACAAACCATCCCAACATACCTCTCTCACTCTGGCCAAGAAAGTGAAAACAGACACTGCGCAGGCACCAAGGTTGAGTACGTGCTGCGATCAAGGCACGCACACCGTAGAATGCCAGCTGCATACTCCCAAAAAGAAAGCTGCAACTCATCAGTCTGCTGCGAGGATCATCAGACACGCTCCACTCAATCCAGAGCATGCTGTCACTGACGCAGCCACACGCTCTGCAACAAACTCAGACTCAGACTTCCCTTCTCTGAAATTGAACTCTACTGACAACCTTCAACGCACAATCCATCCAAACATGCCTCTCACACTGGCCAAGAAAGTGAAAACAGACACTGCGCAGGCACCAAGGTTGAGTACGTGCTGCGATCAAGGCACGCACACCGTAGAATGCCAGCTGCATACTCCCAAAAAGAAAGCTGCAACTCGTTAGTCTGCTGCGAGGATCATCAGACACGCTCCACTCAATCCAGAGCATGCTGTCACTGACGCAGCCACACGCTTTGCAACAAACTCAGACTCAGACTTCCCTTTCTTCATTCCAACTCTACTGACAACCTTCAATGCGCAATCCATCCCAACCTGCCTCTCACTCTGGCCAAGAACGTGAAAACAGACACTGCGCAGGCACCAAGGTTGAGTACGTGCTGCGATCAAGGCACGCACACCGTAGAATGCCAGCTGCATACTCCCAAAAAGAAAGCTGCAACTCGTCAGTCTGCTGCGAGGATCATCAGACACGCTCCACTCAATCCAGAGCATGCTGTCACTGACGCAGCCAGACGCTCTGCAACAAACTCAGACTCAGACTTCCCTTTCTTCATTCCAACTCTACTGACAACCTTCAATGCGCAATCCATCCCAACATGCCTCTCACACTGGCCAAGAACGTGACAACAGACACTGCGCAGGCACCAAGGTTGAGTACGTGCTGCGATCAAGGCACGCACACCGTAGAATGCCAGCTGCATACTCCCAAAAAGAAAGCTGCAACTCGTCAGTCTTCTGCGAGGATCATCAGACACGCTCCACTCAATCCAGAGCATGCTGTCACTGACGCAGCCACACGCTCTGCAACAAACTCAGACTCAGACTTCCCTTTTCGTAAGTCAGCCTCTGCTAACAACCTTGCAACGCACAATCCATCCAAACATGCCTCTCACACTGGCCAAGAACGTGACAACAGACACTGCGCAGGCACCAAGGTTGAGTACGTGCTGCGATCAAGGCACGCACACCGTAGAATGCCAGCTGCATACTCCCAACAAGAAAGCTGCAACTCGTCAGTCTGCTGCGAGGATCATCAGACACGCTCCACTCAATCCAGAGCATGCTGTCACTGACGCAGCCACACGCTCTGCAACAAACTCAGACTCAGACTTCCCTTTTCTTAAGTCGATCTCTGCTGACAACCTGGCAACGCACAATCCATCCAAACATGCCTCACACTGGCCAAAAACGTGAAAACAGACACTGCGCAGGCACCAAGGTTGAGTACGTGCTGCGATCAAGGCACGCACACCGTAGAATGCCAGCTGCATACTCCCAAAAAGAAAGCTGCAACTCATCAGTCTGCTGCGAGGATCATCAGACACGCTCCACTCAATCCAGAGCATGCTGTCACTGACGCAGCCACACGCTCTGCAACAAACTCAGACTCAGACTTCCCTTCTCTGAACTTGAACTCTACTGACAACCTTCAACGCACAATCCATCCCAACATGCCTCTGTCACTCTGGCCAAGAACGTGATCACAGACACTGCGCAGGCACCAAGGTTGAGTACGTGCTGCGATCAAGGCACGCACACCGTAGAATGCCAGCTGCATACTCCCAAAAAGAAAGCTGCAACTCATCAGTCTGCTGCGAGGATCATCAGACACGCTCCACTCAATCCAGAGCATGCTGTCACTGACGCAGCCACAAGATCTAAACATGCTCGGCCCTTCCTTTTGTAACATTTAAACTTGCGAGTGACTGGAATCCTTTCGAAGGAGTTGTGTCCTCTGGTCATTGGTGGGGTCTCTATGGTTGCCAGTGCAAAAAGTGCAATGTTTTTTGTTGGGAGAATACGACATGTTCAGCCACCTCCTTCTTGTATCAGCTTCCCCGCACCCGCAGTTGGTGGTTTTGTTTCGGCTTGGAGGCTAGGGCTTCCCATCTACCCAAACCAAAACCCCGTTCAAGTCCAATCCAAACCGGGCTTTAGACCAACCTGCCGGGTTTCCCGTTCAGCCAATCCCAAGCCCAAACCCCCGCGGGCTGAATCCATCTGCAGCCTCCAAGCGCCCGCCCGGACGTAGGCGTCCTGCCAAGGAGGGTTTCCCCTCCTCCCGCCTCTCGCCGATTTTTTGCACCGCCAGATCCCAGGCGGCAGAGGCACAACGAAAAAGGGGCGAGGCACTTTGAAGGAAAGGCAAGTGAGCTTCCTGATTGGCAAAGGAGTTGCAAGGAAGCGAGTTTGGTCTTTTTGCCAATCAGGCAAACAGGTGGCAAAAAGAGTCTAAACTTTCTCTTTGCAACTCATGTGGTAGTCCCGCAAAGTGTAAAGTCCACTTCCCAAGTGGAACGTGACAATGTCCCAAATCTGGAATGCCAAATTGCCCACGCTAGTGCACCCTGCTTCCTCGGGCGCTCCCCCCCCCCCAGTTGTTGGACCCAGGGTTCAACCGATTCCCATTAAAAGAATGTCGTTGGGACCCAAACCCAGGTGGCCCTGCTGCAGGGTAAACCATGGGTTCTTTTGCACCCCATTGCTTTGATGGTGACAACTGAACCCCGAAAACCGGCTTGAACCGAATGGGTGTGTCCATGTTAAGAAACCCCCACTGTTCCCCTGTTTGTTCTCCCAACCCACCAGCCCCCGAAAAGGGCGCCCTCAAAGAAAGAAAGAAAACGGGACCAAGGCCTTCGGAAAACACGAAGCCAAAACCCGTGGCGAAGAGAAGCGAATCGACTCCAAAACCCGCCGGGTCCTTCACCCGCAGGGTGCGCAGCATCCGATCCGAGCGGAAAAAGGTCCGAGGTGGTGAATGAAGGTTTGGCACCTGCTGCGGTGGTTCATCCCATTCATAGGGTTTCATTCATCCCAGCTGGTGCAGGATTTCGTCCATCCGCAGTAAGGATGTACCTAGGGCTCAAAAATTGATAGTTTCTGTTCATCGCTGGCCAGGAACGCAGGATCATCTGACAAACAAAACGGACGACCGGATCGTTCCAGTCAACTGCAACCGTGGACATGCCATGTTGTTGTTGTGCTCCGCCGGGAGCCAGGAAACCCAGCAGCCGCGCCGAATGAGAACGGAAGAGATCGCACTTGGGCGTCCATGAAGCCTATGCCCCGTCCAATGAAAAGGCGGCACAGCGGCTGCACCATGCTTTCATACAAGCGGAACAAGGGCAACGCGGGAGTTACCGCACCATCTGGCGGTGTCTTTTGTTTTTTGGTAGGTTGGTTCACTGGCAATCCAGGAATCCACCTTCAATGAGTCACACTTTTCAACCTGGCATTAAAATGGTCTGCCTTTTTAAGCATTACAGGACAAGGGCGGATATGCGCAGTTGGGGTTCCCAAGCACCGCCCTCTGGCGGGTCTGCATGATCCACCTCCCATCCCCTCGACGTCTACTGTTTGGAGCAGTTCATGGACTCGGCATCCTGTCTTCCTTGGTTGAGTTTAAAGGGGAGCCCCTCCAAAAAAACTGAAAAGAAAAAAGAAGAGAAAAAAAACACTGGGCAAGTGGGTGGTTGATTTGGCGCTGGTTTGGGTATGAACGGAGTGAATCTTGAACAATAAGGTATTCGTGCCGGGCTTGCTCAAAGTCATTCACCAGCGACAGGCTCACGCAACTCGACGCGACAAGGCCGGCCTTTTTGTTTCTTGCTTGGCAGAGTTTCTGGCAGCGGTGCGTTATCAGAGAGGCCGTACATTTGGGATCCAGAGACTTTCGGATCCAACGGATCGATCCTCCCAACCTGCAGTCCTCATCCTCTTGCATTGCGGGGTTGGAATGGTCTGCGCCTACGGGCAGATCTGAGGAGGAGTCGTCAAACTTTGTTTAAGCAGCACAACCGGAATTCCAACAGGTCCGGCTCAGAACAGAAAGTGCGCGATACTTCTGGCCTGAACGGCTTTCTTACGGGTCAGGAGGACCCCTTCCATTTCCCTCGAGGCGATGGCGCTTCGCCCGAATTGTGTGACTCTTCGCTTCACATGTCTATCCAACCCCACAGTCATCTCATCCACTGAACCCAGGGACTCGGTTTTGAGCCGACTTGGTGGTTTGGCGGTTGGGGATGAGTTCGCAAATTTATGCTCTACAAGACCCAGGGCGTGGCAAAATACCCAAATCCAACCAAGCCAAACCACCTCTTTTTTGGGCTTTCCTGCCTAGGCTTACCTGACAGGCACCATCATTCAGTACCCCGAGAATTTTCAAATCCACGAAACCTGGTGATTAAACCAAGGCCGCCGGGCCGCTCCGTGAAACTCAGCCCCCTCCTTTGAGAAACACCATGGTAAGGGCCATGGCTCAAAGGGGCGATCGAGGCAGGGTACGTCGGGTAAGTGGTGATCATAAGCCTGGTGAGACAACCACCACTGAACGGAGACTGAACTAACCATGGCTTTTGTGGCTCCTCTCACCATGGTTATTACAGCCCGCTACTGCATACCACCAAACGCACCCTGCCTCCATCGCTCCCAAAAAAAGGTACCCGCTCGCAACGGCCTTTGCATTACCCACTTACTACGTACCATCTGACATACCCCCTGGAAAAGCGCGAAGGCCTTAGCAGGCCAGGGGTCTTCACCGCGCGGGCCCCGAAACACGAGACGCCCGAAACGCCGCTCGCTCGCGGGCTCGCGGGCGCTCAGCTCTCGCTCAGTAGGGGCTCTCCTTGGCGAAGCTGGGCATGTCCATTCCCCCCGCCATGGCCAGTAGCTCCTTGGGGATCTGGAAGTCGCCTCCGGCCGTCCGGCCGTCCGGCCGTCGCCCCGAGCTCGGGGTGTCGGGGTTCTGGGCATGGAGTCTGACCCCGAGAAAAATGTTCCAACGGGTGGTGTCCTTTGAGGGGACTTGCGGGGTTCATTCCCTCATTCCCTCATTCGAGCTGGGTCAGTTCGCCCATCCGGGAGTTGGCGGAAAATCGAGGAGACGCCTTGCGCTGTAACTTTACCCTTTCAACCGAATCCCATCAAAAGAAAGGCAACCAAGGGGACCCGATTTGGATGATGACCATCCTGCAGGCTAAAGAATGGAATATGAGCCCAACCGTTGAATCAAAATGGTAGCCTGCCTGAACCCGGTCTATTCCTCCCAGTGCTGAAGGGTTTTGCGAAGAGTTGCCGAAGGGGTCAGGAGCCAACGGCTTGAAGTGAAGCAACGCCAGAGGAAACCAGCGGCTCCCAAATTGGCCCGTTCAGGTGCTTGAGGGTCCAAAATTGGAGGGAAAGACCAGGAAGGCAACTTCTGCGTCTCTCATACCAGATCTGTCAACTTCGCCAAAAGGCGTAGACGGCCCGCAGGCATTGGCCCACCAAAAGCCATGGTTACAGCCTCCGCTCAGCGGTTCTTATCTCACGAGTCTTCCCGTCTTCCCGCCTGTCGGAAGGCTGGCAGCTGCAGACTCCTCCTTGCCCATGGCCAGGATGGTTCTGACGCCGCGCGGAACGCCCAGGTTGGAACGCCCCCCCAAAAAAAAGAAAAGAAAACATGGTGTTCCTCGTGGTTTTCTCCTTGCAAGATGGGGCACCCTCCCGAAAAGAGACACACCCAAATTGGGTGTGAATGAGAATCAATCCAAAAGGATTCTGGTGGACATCCAAATATCATAGGTGGGGATTCCTAGCCAGGTGTCTTCAAAAGTGCTTGCCTTTTTTGTGGCTTCACAGGCAAACCCCTTGAAAAAAGTGAAAAAAGGGCGCCACTGGGTGTGTAGCCCGTTGGTTCGACGTGGTAGTGGCCCTGAAAGAAACGACCCCAGTTGGTTGGTTGAATGGATGGATGGATGGATGAATGGCTGGATGGCTGGATGGCTGGATGGCTGGATGGCTGGATGCATGCATGAATATATGGATGGACGGATGGATGCATGGTCGGTCAGTCAGTCAATGCGTTCATTCGTTCGTTGGTTGGTTGGTTAGTTGTTGCGAATCACCGATCTTCATGTACACCTCGTCGAACGTATCCCTCATTGAGTCGTCCCCGGCCTCTCCTTTTTAAGGCCGCCTACCCAACGGACTAGAAAAATGGATTTTGTCGCAAGATTGCAAAGTCGGGACGTACACATTTGTATAGATATGTTGTATGGATATATAATGTCCAACCAGCCAATCAACCAACCAACCAAACCCAACCAAACCCAACCCAACCCCACACGACCCGACCCAACCCAACCAACCAACCAACCAACCCAACCCGACCCGACCCAACCCAACCCGACCCGACCCGACCCGACCCAACCAACCAACCATCCAACCAACCAACCCAACCCAACCCACTCAAAAGGAGGCCCAAAAAATCCCGTTTCTTTGTTCCTTTTTTCGATGCCCTCGTGTTCCAGGCCCTCGTGTTCTGCGGACCCGGGAGCCACCTACAGAATGCGGCTCCGCCCGCCTGAGGATGGCCTCCGCCTGCGCCTCCCCCTTGCGGATCACCGCCCGGATCTCCTCCTGGGGCTTCTTGGCTTTTATTGGGCTGTGGGTCAAAAGCAATGGTACCATGTTGGAGTAGGTGCACCACCCATTTTAGGACCTATTTTGGTGGGGATTGGGATGACCCATGGCCAAATTTCAGTATCACGGGGTCTGGGGGTGAGGTGGGAACCCCGGTGAATGGAACCAAGCACCAAAACCTGCGCTACCCTGGTGGTTAAGTTTTTGACCCATACCCATTTTATAGCATCATGGGGTCATGGGGGTGAGAAAGCCTGGGGCCCTTTTCTTGCCATTTCTGGGGATTGGCTTTTGCCACTGTTCTTTCCTCCGACCAACCAACCAACCCACCAACCAACCAACCCACCCACCCACCCACCCACCCACCCACCCACCCACCCACCAACCAACCAACCAACCAACAAGCCCACTTGGATGTTCAACCAAATTGGTGAATAGCCATAGTAAGAAGAGAACCAACCCCAGTTACCCTGGTTATAACCATAGTATCATGGGGCCTGGAGGGGGAGCGGGGGGGACGGAGGGGGCCTTTCGCTGCCACTTTTTAGGTTGCTTTAGGCTGTTCGTGCAATGGACAGGATGACATTGAACCCGATGCATCTACCCCCACTTTGACCACAGATATTCTGCCGAACTTCAAAAAACATGATGCAAAAAAGAAATGGCCTTCAATATTTCGGGCGGGGGGATGGCTTTACTGGTTCAATGCCAATCTCTTGGCTGAAATCCAGGGAAGCTGGGCCAACGAAAGAAAAGGAAAAGCCAAATGGGCGGCACGTGGTTTTTGGGTTGGGAGTTGGTGCCCCGTCTTTTTGGTGGAGTTTAAAGGGAAACCAAAAGGAAAACAAGCAATGCGGTGGGTCCGTAAGAGAAAAAAGGCACCCAAATGGCTACCTGGGAGTATATTGTGGGTAACCCTTCGCCAACTACCAATTTGGTTATCGGGTGGCAAGCCCTTGGTTACCTATATGGCTGTGGCTCAAAAACCGGTACCAAAATGGAACCCTAGTAAGTGGAAACATGGACCAAAACCTGCGTAACCCTCCTGTTTCATTTTTGAGCCACGCCCATATACGTAAATGAAATCACTGGCTGGGAGTGTCCAGAAATCGGGGGCTCCAACTTGCTGGCACTCAAAGAGAAAGGAGATGCTCTCCGTTTGGAGGCGTTCAACCTCGATCTGGTTAAAGCCCCCTGTGAGATGGGTCTGTCTGTTTTCCCGAAATGGGTTTCCTTGCAGGTGTTCCTTTAACACCCAACCAAAAGGAGGATCCAAAAACAACATGTGAAAGGCAACACTGCATTTTAAGCCGGTTTTCAAGCTTCTCTCCTCGACTAGTCACAACGGCCCGTTTCCTTTACTCCAGACCGCCTGTAACTTTTGGTAGTTGATGCGTAACGGAACCCTCTCCAATAAAAACAGCAGAAAGTTTAGCGGCGGACAAACTGACTTGTTTCCCCGGCAAAAACGTGGGTTCGTGTCAAAACAGGAGGCTCCCCAAAATGCCAGGTTTTCCTTTGGCTTCCCTTTCGACCAAAATGCAAATGGTACTGAGCCTCAAACACACACGCACGCACACACACACAGAGACACCTGGGCGGTTCTTAACAGGTGAACCCCCAAAAGGAAACTGACCATCATTGGGGCCCTCGAGTTCAAAAAAACAAATCCATTCCCCAACCACCGACGCTCCGTAAGCTTAAAAGAAAATTATAAAAATGTTGTCCAAGAAAAAGGCGAGATTACACGGGATCATCAAAACACGAGGTCCCCGGAGCGATTGCTTCCTGCCCACAGTGATTGGACTGAAGCAAGCCTCTTCTCGATCTCATTTCTCTGGCTTCTTCGGCTCGTTTTTCTATCTAGTTTTATGTAAGAGGAATGAGAGCCCTGGGTTTTCTGAGAGGATTCGAGGAGGGTTCCTTTTCAGCTGTGCTCTTCTATCTAGTTTAACGGCAAGAGCCCTGGGTTTTCTGAGAGGATTCGGGTTCCTTTCCCTAGAGGGCCCTTAGGGATCTTTGGTTTCGTAGGGTTCCTTGGGATTGTTCAGGGATCCTTAAAGCTCCTTATAACAACTCGCGCCTTTTCCCCCCCCCCCTAAAACCACCCCCAGTAAGACCGATCTCACCCTTGATCCGTTCCCTGGTTCCTTAAAGCTCCTTCTAACCCCCCCCCCCCCCCGCCCGCCTTCCCCGGTAAAAACCACCCCCCCACCTCACCTCACCGCTCCGACGGCGGCCCTCCGAACTCCGAACTCCGACGTCCCACTCGGCTCCGTGGCGGCCAGCTCCGCGGCGGAGCGGCCCTGGCCGTTCCGCACCGCCAGGTCCGCCCCGGCCTTCACCAGGGCCTCCACCACCTCGAAGACTTTGGAAGCTTCGGGGCCTTTTGAAAGCGGGGGGCGAAAAAAAAAAAAAAAAAAAAAAAAAAGTGTGGATGCGCAAAGCAGGTAGAAGAGACCGCCCAGAAAAAGGGGCTGGGACCTGGTCAATTTGTTTTGAATCCACCCCCCAAAAAAAACAAAAGCTGGTCAAAAAATGGTGGATCCCCCCAAAAAAAAATGATAAGGGCTGGTGAGTGTCTGTTGGATCCTCCCAACATTGGGCTGGCCTATTTTTGTGGATGCCCCAAAAAACAGGCTGGTCGTTCTTTTGGCTGCCCCAAAAACAGGGCTGGTCTATTTTCTGGATACCCACACAAAAGGTGGCGGCGGTTCTTTTTTGGGAAGATGGCAACCAGTGGGTTTTAAAGCTTCTGAAGGTAAACACATGTTGGGGGCTCTTTTGACGCGTACCCAAACCATGGTGTTAAAGTGGTGCGGGATTGCGTCCATCGACAGCACGAAGGAGCCATCAAAGGTGAAATCGGCGAAATCGGTCGCCCCCCGCGATATCGGTCCGCTATGATTTGCCCGGATACCAATTGAGACCACCGAAACCTCTTCCACCTCAAACCACGGTAGGGCTTTTCTTTACTTCCCAGGAGACTCATGTTGAATTCGAGCTTAAGGTGGTGCTGAAATCATCCAAAACGGGATGTGTATATATATATATATATGTATGATAAATGACCAGATAAACAAAAAAAATGGTATACATATATGTATACATCTCCACGGCTCCCTGTTCGGCTTTTGCTTTTGCCTGCCCGCCCGCTTTGCCGCTTTGCCGGTGCCCGCAGGCCTTCTGGTGGCCCTCCCGTGCGGCGATCATCAGCGCGGTGTTGCCCTGCTCATCCACCACCTTGGGCCAACACCATCCACCCCATGGAAGAAAGAGAGTCGGGCTCCAAGCGGGTGAAGAGTGAGACAAGCTTTGGCGATTTGTGTGTGTTGTTTTGCTTTATTTCTTTTTAGAAAAGGGTGGAATGGTGCTTAGTGAAAATATTCATGACTTTGATAGCCAGAAACTGCGAAGATGATCATCAAAGCCTCTCAGTTTGGTGGTTTGGACCTTCGTTTGCTGCCTTGCTCCAAGCGGGTGGAATGGTACAACGCTTCGTGACTGAAAAGCAAAAATGGCTAAAACAAGAGTGAAATGTTTGTTCAAGACTGCAGAATATGCCTGAATGTGTGGGGAGTGAAATATGTGCTGTGTGTTTTTTGGAGAAAAAGAAAAACACGAGGGGGAAGAAGATAAGAAACTGGTCCTGACTGAGTTATGCCCCTAAATGTGGTTTCAAGGTATCCCAAAAGCCCCAATCCAACTACCCTAGGGTTCGACCAATTCGCTTGGAAAGTGTGGCAACCAAGGGGACCCGATTTAGATGATGACAATCCTTAAGGGCAAACAATGGTGGTGAAATATGAACCCAACCGCTTATTCAATGCTGGTTTGAGTCGCAGGGCCTAAGTAAAAATAAAGGGAAACAAACAGTCGTTAACGACTTGGATCACCAGAAACTGTCAAAACGATGATCCTAGACTCTCATTGGTGGTTTAGTTTGGTGGTTTGGACGTTAAGCTGGGCTTCAGATCCCCAAATCATTTCAAACCCAAGGGTTACCGGAGAGCATCCAGAGGGCCGTGAAGTTGTTCGGTTCAGCTCTGAAAACACCGCGTCCGAAAGGAAACCGTTGCCGTTTTGGGCGTTCCATATCCTATTTTGAGACAAGCCCAGATGCAGATGCAAATCGACACGGGCCGCTCAGTGTTGTTCGAATGGGCTTAAATACCTCAAAACCAAATGTCACAATCGTCGGAGACCTTGCGCACATGTTTCGCCCCCTCCCATGGAACCAGCCCAAGAAACAAAGGCCAGATCTGGCTGGTTCAGAGTACCGCTCTTGGCGTGTCCCCCGATTTGGTGAGTCGCCAAATCGGGAAAGCAAACCCCCCAAATAGCAAAGAGGCTTCTCGCAAAATGGACCTTTAGCCTGGTCTTCTACCAGGCTAAGTTGTGTATAGGCCTTACAAGCCTCTGAAACCACGCACCAAGTCGTAGAATCTATTTGCTTGAAGCCGCGGGTCAGGGTTTCGGGCGCTCTCACTTAGAGAATCCAGGGGAAGGATCTGCATCCGAACCTCGAGAGGCCACAAACTGGAGGCCACAAACTGAGCAAAAGGTCGAGTCTGACCTTAGCTTCAATAGCAAAAGCCCTTGATTTCTCCAACAGCTCCACCTGAAACGCGGGCGATTCATTCGGCTTGTTTTGTATCCAGGTCTCCGATTCAAACCACCATTTTAGCAGTGGGGGTCACAAAACCACCATTGTTTACCCTTCAGGATTGTCATCCGAATTGAGTCAAACGGTTTTTTTCCTGGAGGTTGAACCCTGCACCCTACATCCCCCCCCCAAACCCCAGCCATCCGAATTGGGTCAAACTGTTTTGCGTGGGGGTGGACAAGAAACACCTCCCCCCCCCCCAAACCCCCCCCCCCCACGCCCCCCCCCCCCAAACCTAGCCCCCAAAACTGCAAGCCCAAGCCGCGTCCAGCTGCGGCTGCGAGCAAGAGGTCTCCAAGGCGCGCGCCACCACGTCATCTTGGCCTCGAAACTCGACGCGGGAAGCGAAGCGAGCGGGATGGGACGTCGAAGCGGGAAGCGAACATTTTGATGAGCGATGAGCCCGGAATGTAGACAGTACGGAAAATTGTGGCCACCAAACACTTTGGAGGTGGTGTCCTGTTAGGAGTTCATAGCCACATACTTTTATCTATATTATGTATATATGTTCCAGGCCGTGGACCCCCCCCCCCCGCCCCCCCCCCCCCCCCCCCCCCCCTGTGGGGGTGGGTGGTGGGGTGGTGGGGTGGTGGGGTGGTTGGTTGGTTGGGTGGTTGGGGTGTGGTTCGGAGTTGGTTTAGGCTTGGTGGGTTGGTTTAGGGTTGGTTCAGGGTTTGCGGTAGGTTTCGGGTGGGTTTGGGGTTTGGGTTGATTTATGCTTAGGGTTGGGGTTAAGGAGGGGTTGCAGGGTGGTTTGGTTTAGGGTAGGGTGTTGCGAGAGGTGCGGGGGTGTTGGTTCACGGGGTGAAAGGGGGAGTCTGGGACCGAAGCTGCAGGGCTCACACGGTACTGGACAGCATCCCCAGCAATGCCAGCATCATCCCCAAGATGCGGATGATGCGGGGGGGGTGGGGGGGGGGGTACGTGGCCCAGGGACTGGTACATATATATATATATATATATATATATGTATGCATAACTTATAATTTCTGAATTATACATATCGGTATGCGTGTGTGTCTGTGTGGGAAGCCTCTCCATTGTTCTGAAGACCTTTGAGTGGTCTTAATTCCGAAGGGACATCGGGAAGAAAACGCTGAGATCCGACGCCTCGGCTTTTATCCAGGTAGACATGGACGTCAAGATGGCACCCTCAACACAGGGATCCTTACATTATACGCTTGAACATTGCAACTTGTGCATGGTGGTTTCCTTTTATTTTGGTATTGAAAAAGCCACATGTTTCAAATGGTGGCAAATTGGAGATCTTTTAAGGAGCCCTGCTTCAGTACGAAGGAAACGAAAGGCCAAGGCGGCTTTAGTTCATTTCCCTGATGGCCTTCTGCGAGCTAAACATGCGTTGCACGTTTTGGTGAAGGGTTAGAAGCCTTTTCCCATTGGAAGTGTCTTTCTATTTTTCTCGGGGACCTCCAACATCAATGTGTTCCTTTTCGTTTCCCCCGTTAAACCCACGAAAAAAGGGTAGCCTCAAAACCGACCCCGGCGCACTGATGCTTGCCACCTCTGTCAGAATTGAGTGTTCTCTCTCATGGTCATGCGGGTGTCTGCAATGTTTCAAAAAAGTGTCTTTCCCGGTCAACCTCCAAAAAGGGGGGAACCCTCAAAACACCAGCATTAGGCCCCCACTTGGGAGATGTCAACAGCACCCCGAGCAGCACCCTGGCTGCATCGCCAAACAAGCACCACCGCACCACGGTCACCCAAAAAACCTCTTTGACCAGCACCCTGCAACGCAAAACAGGCACTGCCAGCACCACAGCACCTTGAGCGCACCCCAATCAGTACCCTGACTGCAGCGCCAAGGGTCCGAACTCCCCGAACAGCCTGCCCCTCTTTGGAAGTTAGAACCCTTGTAGCTTTGGGAATAAGAACCCCTACACCCATTGCTAAAGCTATCTAGGGAACATCTCCAAGCAGCACCAGCGCCCTGACAAGCACCCAACACGGCACCCCTGACCAGCAACCCAGCACCCTGACTGCAGCCACTTGGCCCGATTTCCCTGAACAAACCCCGCCTCTTCAGAATGTTGACCCCATATTAATCACCCCAGTCTATTCTAGGGGGGTGTCCCTGGGTTAAGTGGCAGTCCACTTTTGCAGAGCCCCACACGCCCCGTTGATAAAACTTGAGGTCATTTTTTAAAGAATACACCAGCATAGACCCCTGATAGCGTTAGAACCCCTGTTTATTAGAAGTTAGAACCCCCTATAGCTTTCAATCTGGGGAAATATGGGGATAGCATCAAGCACCCCGATAGCTAAAGCTATCTAAAACCAAAAATTGCCAGACCCGACATCCCCCCTACCTTCCAGAGGGGATGGAGATTCCCCAATTCCATTTATGTGGTCTTCCCCCGCAAAAGGAGGGGTCGAAATCCCCTCTCCCCCACTTCCATTTGCTAGCTGGTGCGATTTGTAGGGAACGAGACATGGAATGACACCTAAATCATCCCCTATGGTTTCCCCTATTCTGGAATCCTCAAAACCGGTTCATTCCATGTCTCCTTCCGTACGACTCGCACCGATCCCAAGATCCGAGGATCCGCGCCGTGGCGCGCCGCGATCATCAGCGCCGTGCGCTGCCATGTGGCACCTGAGCTGAAACTTCGACATCGTCTTATGCAGGAAAAAAAAATGGAGAAATGGGGAGGGGTCAAAACAGGTTCCCTGGTTGGGTCTGCGGCTAATTTAGAGCAACTTCAGCTATGACCTGCTCATAAGTCGCCCTAAGCAGAGTTCAGCTTCTTAGCGGGTTATAACCCAGGCTAACTTAATGACTTGGGCGAACATCGAACTGTAAACCACCCCTTACCAAGGATTCCCTCAAAAAAGCACAGGAACCCTTACATGGCTTGAACATCATCCATTTGATTGTTTTTGGCGTTTCTTTCTTTCTTTCAGCGGGAAAAAAAAGGTGTAGGGTGCAACTCTGCACCAAATATCCTCTTTGCACAGCGCAGAACAAGATTCGGGGATTCATCGGCACGCTTCAGGTGCCATTTTTTTCGAATGTGACCCAATCCTTCCTCTCAAGCGTTAGCAGCAGGAGGGGTAGCCCTTTTGCTCTGTCTTTGTTACATCCTGTTCGATGGGCCAGCAAGTTGAGTGTGGACTCAACCCAGAAACTCACCCTCCCAAAACAAAATTTGTTGACATGGCCATGATTCAAACACGGAACAAAGGGTCGGCAACTAAGACTCATACCCAAATCTGAAAGGGACCGGTCCCTGAAAGACGATTTTCCTCCTCCAGCGACCCTCTTTTAGGATCCACGTTTGTTTTGGGAGGAGAATGACAACTGCATTACTCGACCCTTTTCAGGCTGGCTTGAAGATGTTTGTGAGTTGACATGTGGGTTGAAAGTGGAGCCAAGCCACTTGGAAGCTCTCCACCCCAAGATTGCGCCAACCCTTTGAACATGGTTGAGCCATTGTTTCAACAACCGCCTCCTGCTGGTTGCCCCAAGAAAAGCAAACCAGCGCAACCGGTGGTTCAGACAAAACCAAATGCAACCGACCCCCACTGGGCAGGCTGACCCCCTCCCCCCCTCCCCCCCCCCCCCGAAACCCGAAACCGAAAAGTGAAAAGAAGAAAAAAATGCGGATCACTCAGCACCCGGCAGCAGGCGGGCGGCTCGGACACCGATCCACTGGACATGATGACAAAAGGCTGAGACCAATCGCATCCATCTGGTTGGCAGGTGTGGTTGGGCAATAATTAGTAAACCCCTGTTGACTAATAAGGGGGTGTCCATTTCTGGGTGAAATGTGGGGAATCAGACCACTTCTGGATACCACCATGGAACCCACCAGAAAGTTTGAGGAAAACAGTCCAAACCAAGAATTGCGCAACGTCAGGTTCCACGGCAACGTGGACGGGAGGGTCTCAGAATCTGATGTTTGGAGTTGTGGTCGGAGTGGCAGCTGAAGGCAACCGATGGAAAGTGACACCTGGGCAAATTGCCAGGAAAGGCTTCAAACCGGGCTCATGGTGTTGCGGCCATGGTGCCTTTCTTGTGGATCCCTGGGGAAAACAAAGGACACCAAGGACCAAAATGTCCGGAAACTGCGGCAAGAGTGGCAATGTCTCGATCTCGCACGTTCACGTTTTGATCTTGCACCGGCCTCTGTCCGCGTTCCGCGTTCCGAGCCTTTGCACGGGAAGTGGGACAAGTGCCCGTGCCAAGATCCGGAAAACGGCTAAAAAGGATTCGCCACTGTGGATCCAGCCCCAAAATGAAGAAGAGGCATCTGGAATCGGGTGTGCGAGTGGCTTTTCTTAGGGTGTTCCGCTGTTCGGGGGTCGAATTTTGAGGGACGCCAAAAGGCAAACCACCATTTCTGGAGTCTTTTGGCACATGCCAAATCCAGAGAGCGGCGCGAATCCAAAACCGTTTTCTCGAGAGGCTTCTCAGTTTGAGAGGCCAATCCTAAAGTGCTCCGGCATGGCTTGCTGCAGCTTCCGCCACATGCCTGCCTGCGAAAGCTCTTTGTCCTCCTGGCAGTCATACTGTGGATGGTTGCGAAATCCATTTCGCACCACTTTGAAACCACGGGAAACCATTGTTTGCTTGAAAATTTACAAGGGAATCATCATTCCAGGGTTTCTCAGGCGGTGCAGGATTTCGTCCATCCACAGAATGGAAGAGTTGGATCCCTCGATGCTGTTGTGGGTATGACTTGCTGGTTCGTTTGGCAGGACATGAGGCAATGAACCCAAACAGAAATCATCCCTTGTAGTTTCCTCTAAGGGGCGCTTTCGGTTGACTCCCAAAACCTCTCTTGACCAACAAGATGAGTAGTGGTCAACAGCGCCAACCTTTGCCCTTGCCCTCGAGAAGTTCTAGCCCCTGCGGCCCCGTTTCACCACCTCTAAAGCAACACCAACCCCGCCCAACTTCCCCCCAAACCCCGAAACTCCTCCCCCTCCCCCCCAAAGGAAAAAAACGCCACCTTCGAGTTGTTGACTTGAAGAGAAGTTGCGTTAGCTGACTCGGCTGGGTCCGAGCAGGACGACTTCCCTCAAGAACTGCAATGACAAGCCAGATGTCACCTTCGGTATCCAGGTCATTGATGAGCTGAACACGTCCAGAAAAACGCACCAAAGCCCTGGCTCGGGTCTCTTCCCGTCCTCCCGCCAATCGTTGCAGAAGACCACGTGCCGCTCGGCTTCCGTGGGCAATTCGAAGTCCGCCGCCATCTGCCGCCCCAACACCTCGTCCACCCCCCCCACCCGCGAACGCAGCCGCGCCCAGCGTTGCTCCTAGCAAAAACAAGAAGAAGAAAAAAACCGCGGGACGGGAAACAAAGCAACACCCGGAAAGGAATCAAAGGCAGGAACCAAAACCTCCCCCCAAAAAAAGAAGAAAAAAATGACAACAAAGCCCAAGACTTAGTTTTTGGCCCCTGCCAGAAGGAAGGAGCTGAAAGGACCTTGCTTTGCATCGGAGGAGTACTTGCATGGCAAACGAAGCCCTGCTTTTTTTCGTGGGTTCCAAGCCTCTCCTGGGTCCAAGGGCAGTCATGCCAACTTTCGCCTTTCGGCGGGGGAATGAATGGCAGGGGGAAGAAGCAACGTTTTCCACTCGAAAGCCCAAAAACAGTCCGAAAACCCGAGCGCCCCTTAAAAAGGGGCCACCCTCGCCCACATCGGACATGGGTCAAACTGTGCTCTTTGGTTCGTAGGAAACCCAAAAAGAAACCTAGTTTCTCCAGTCTACAAGGGTGTGGATGTTTGAGGTCGGTAAGGGAAATCCAATGGGAAAACGCAGTTTGTGGGGTCCAAACCCCCATCTTGACACTTGGGTCTGTCAATTTCTTGAGTGTGCCATGTCTACCCCTTCTTTGTGGTCCAAAGGGAAACCAAAAAAAAACTCATTTTGCCAGCATCCGAGTTCCGAAGGAAGAAAAGACGCGCCGCCCAAGGAACGGCCGTTTCCTCGACGCGCACGACGAAAAAAGGAGTCGAAACCGATCCTTCCATTTGGTTACGACCCCGGGGAAGAATAAAACCCAATGATAAATTCCGTGTAAAAACCAACACGGGAAAACGGAAGGATCCCGTCGAGGGCGATCCTCGTCCGCCTGCACCCACACCATCTGCAGGGAAGGGTGCGCGGCACGCAGCTGATCCCGGTGCCGCTGCTTGAAAGTGGCCTGGCAGCAGGCTGGCTGCCCCCATCGACCAACCAACACCCCCCCCCCCCCCCGGCCCCCAACAAAAAAAACAAGAAACCAAAAAACGCACCAAAAGGAACCTTGCCGGTGGCTCAGAAGAAGGCACAACCACCCCAACCACCCCCAAAAAGCCTGCCAAAAGAAAAACAGACAACCCTTTTCCTGCCTCCAGCAAAAGAAAGGCACGCCCGAAACAAACCTTCCCGGTGGTTCAAAGAAAGGAACAACCACCCACAAAGAAGCCGGCCAAAAGAAATGCACAACGCTGGAGTGAGCGTTTCCTCGCATATGCTGGATTCTGCTGGTGTCCTTTATGATCGATGGATTCTCGCAAATGAAACTGAAACTGAGCTGAATTGATGCACCAAACTGAGACCAAGAGAGTCTCCAGTCTCCACCAAACCAAAGGAAGCTGTCCTTTGGACTTCCTTGAGAGACCAACCAAGGGATCTAAAATCCCATTCTGAGATACGCGGAGCAGAGGCAAAGATAACGCACACAAGGCTTTTCGCAGGGAGAGAAGGACTAGCCAAGAATCTGGACGTGTCTTTTGGGGAGTCCTTTTGGTTTGCTTGAAAGGGAACCAAAAATGAAACATCTTGAAAAAGGGGCCTTTTTTTCTGACAAACTCATCTGGGCTAAGCCCAACCCTCAGCGTTTCCAAAAACAACCCGTTCTTCTTGGAGAAAAAAAAAAAAAAAACATGAAAGAGGTTTACATGGAACCTACAAAAGACCGATTTGGGGCAGGGTACTTAGAAGTGGTTAAACCCACTTACCATGGTTGCAAGTCTCCTAAGTGGGCTATAAGCAGGCTTACTAACCACTTCCCGAGTACCCTGCCCCCTTAAATACACTCACAAAAGACAAACCCGAACGGGGCCCCGAACAAATCCAGCCTGCGCCACACAAAGCGGCCGCGCTGGACGGTTCTCCGCTGCAGCCGCTGCCGCCTCCTCCGTCTTCACCGCGCCGATGCGCTCGATGATATCCTGATGAAGGCGCGGCACTGTGAGCCTGTCTAGCTCCAACACACCAGCCAAGCAAGCAAGGAAGCAAGCACGACCCTCTGACCTTGATGACATGACACCAACAAACGTCGCCTTCTAGTCGCTAGGCTTCTGTGGCTCCCGATGCGAGTTGGCTCTGAATCTGTGACAAAAATACGTGCTGAAAATATATAGAGAGCAGTAGAGTCGCGAATAGTGAGTCAGTGAGTTTCTGAACTAGATGGCGCCACTCCCTGTTTTGGTTCAGTCATCGCTAAGCTTCCCAATACAAGATTGTCACGCATGATTGTCATGGAAAAAATCATGAGTCCCCGTTACATGGATGTGACTTTTAATGGGGGGACCCCTTGGTGGACGTCATTTAGGTGTGCCTTGATGTTCACAACCTCTTTCAAGGATCTTCCCCATTGAAAGTCCTTTGCCTCATGGGCATGAAGAGGTGGGGCGAGATCCACTACTTTAGGGACCATGATTTGAGAACCCCTGCTTTAAGCACTTGGATGTTCTGCCAAGTTAGCAAGTGCTTAGCCACATGGGTGCCAACTGAACCCACTAATAACAAGGTCACCTCCACTTAAGGGGCTTGTAACCGTGTTGTAGCCTAGGTTACTAACTTACTAACTTGGCGCATCGATTATCCAAGCATGTCAAAGCAGGGAAACTAGGCGAAAAAGGGGGAGGGTTCTCAACATGCACCTTCAAATGGGTTGTGAAACGAGGTGAAAAGGGGGCAGAGTTCTCAAAAATGGACCTTGAGATGGGTTGTGAAACTAGGCAAGAAAGGGAGGAGAGTTCTCAAAAACGGACCCTTGAAATGGGTATGGCTCAAAATTATTCAGAGCTGGCGCAAACCGCGGGTTTTCGTCTTGGGCTCCCTTCACCAAGGTGGCCATTGTGGACTTCCACTTTTCTGAGCCACAGCCAAATGGGGTGGTTTCAACCAACACGACCAGCCAAGTACTGGCGTCTCTCGGGCGGTCCCTCGATCCGTCCTGCACGAAGCGGTCCCTCTGCTCCTCCGTGAAGCCGCGGCCCTCCCGCAAGCTCTGCCGCAGATCCATTGGCAGCCAGCCGTCCCCGTCGTGGAAGAGGTAGCCCAAGTCCTGGCCCCAAAAAAAGCGGCCGCGCCATGGGTAACGTTGACCCCGTATCAATGAAGCTCTGCTTGTGAATATGGGGGTGTTCCCCTCCAAAAGCGGTCTCTTCCCCTCCAACTCGGGGGGGGGTTGGGCTAATGTTGACCCCATATTCATCAACCAGCCTGTTCATTAACAGGATGTCCCTGGTGTTCATGGGGATTCGGACCACTTTTGGAGGGGCATGGGGTCAACATTAGCCCATACTAAATAGGGGAATATTCGAGGAATGCTAAGGGGAAAATTAAAGGAACACTAGTGAACAAAAGGCTACGAATGGAACACTACTAAAGGACCACTCATGAAAATACTAGGGAATTACTATAGACTAATCAACCAACCTGTCAGGGCCATATTCATAAGCAGGGGTTCATTGATACGGGGTCAACATTACCCCCTTTGACGTCTTGGCGACTTGGATAATCAGCCAAGTTAAAAAGGTTGCTAGGAACCTAGGCTATAACCTGCTAAGCTTGCTATTAGCGGGTTGTAGCCCAGGCTAACAGAATAACGAACTTGCCGCACGAGTAGACTGTCCCCACCTCTCCTGCAAGGCCTCGCCGCAAAAGCTCTTGCCCACCCCGGGCAGGCCGAAGAAATACAGATCCGGCAACTCAGCCGCTGCCGCTATGGGCGCTGCTTTCTGATCCGCCGAAACAAAAGCCTCCCCGTCCATCGCTAAATCCATGGCGCGCTCGGGGTCTGCAAGGAAACAAGGGGGTGGATCGATGTGTGAAAGTTCGAAGGTCAGCAGAAAAACTGACCTGTATCCCATACGAGACTCCAGAGTAACAAGTATACTCTTGGTTGCTTTCTGCTCCTGTGCTAAACGTTTGACCTTTAGTGGTTTGATGGAAAACCCATTAGTTGGCAAAAAGCTAAAGTCCTAGCATCCAAGCAAAATGCACCAAAGATCCTTGCAACATCCCGCTTGCAAGCGGTGTCCATGGCCGGCTTTCCAGGCCGATGCATTTGAGCCGTCCAGAGGAATGGCCAGTCGTGCCTGCTGGAGACAACCCCATGGCCATTCAAAGAGCACCAGGGTTTTCAGCTGCACTCGAAAGTAGAAGACACAAGCAGCCCACGAACATCCCACTAACGTCAAAAACATCCCAAACCTCCCCCTGTGGTTCTTTTAACACACCCCACAAACATCCGGGCTTCGCAACAAGCCCGGACGTGAAACGGTTCTGGCAGGAAGTTCCCGGAAGTCGCATGAAAAGCATATCCCCATCCACAGGGTTCTGGATTGGAAAGCATACGGAGCATGGCCACGCTGCAAACCACCTTTCACCAGTAGGGTTTTTAGATGGGGGGCTCGTGCCTTTTTCGAGGCTACCCTTGTTGGGGTTGGTTTAAATATGGGAAACTCAAGGCAATGCGCTACTTTGGGGTTACCCCTATTTTAAGACAAAAGCAGGCGTATCCTGTGAGCGACCCTGATCCACCCAGCTGCCAGAGGGACAAGCCGGGCATCTTGTTAATCCACGAGCGTCAATTGTACAGTCTGATCGCTTGGCGAATAGGATACCGACCTTGGCAGGAGACTGAGCAAACCCCATACCCAAAATTAGACAAACAAACGAACGAAACAAACAAACAAACAAACAAACAAAGAAGCAATTCGTCAATCAAACAAACAATCACCAATCAAACAACCAATCAAAGAACCAATCAAACAATCAATCAAACAAACAAACAATCAAACCAACAAACCAACAAACCATCAAACCAAGCAGTCAAACAACCATGGGGTGAAGGATGCTTCAAGCGCAAAAGAGATGAAGCCTGGTTCTCATCTAATTGGAACCAAACCATGCCCCCACCACAAGGTCGCAAACTTCGCCGCCTCTTAGGTGATGTCGACTATGAGACCCCCCCCCCCACCCCCCCCGCGGCCTCACAAATGTGCGTTTCAGATGCATCTCATACTTGAGGAAAAACACCTACTGGCCTCCTTCCAAAAAGTCGCAAAAAAGGTACTGCCAAAACAAGCATAAAATGAAAGCAGCGTCGAGGATGCTCTTTCGTCCGGTTCCGGGTTTGCTTTGCTGAGTCCTTTCACCCGCAAAATGGAAATGACACCCAATACCGCAGAATTTACGTCCTGGATGGGTCCCCCGCCGCTGCCCCCAAAAAGCCCTTGACACGCCAAGCGCCCCGCGCCCCGCGCCACGCGCCACGCGCCACGCGCCACGCTCCACGCGCCACGCACGCGATTCCGTCTTTGGGCGCCAGGCACACGGGGCAGAGGTTGGAGCGGCTTTGGATCTCCGTGAGGCAAGCAGCGCAGACCCGGTGCCTCGCACTCAGACTGATGAGGGTTGCGACATCCGCTTCTCGCACTACGAAATGAAACCAGGGTTGAAACCATAACGTTTGTTGGTATTTGCAGGGGATGAAATGATTTCTGTGCGAAATAGATTTCGTCCATCCACAGTATGCTCAGTGATTCCGTTTGGGTGTGTCTTGTTTTAGGGCGCCCCACGAAACAAGGGGCTTTGGTGTTTTTTCGAGGGTGGTTTCTCTTAAAAACCAACCAAAAACGCGGATACTCCAAACAAGAGACCCAATCCCCTGCATGGCTTGGGTCTCTAAAGGGCACCACAAACCCACAAGAAAATGGCGAAGGGTTACCTAGAGTGGCGTGCCTAGAATTGCTCGGGATGGCTCCTCTGCAAACGGGTGACCCATGTGTCCAACAACCCCGGAGCCCCGAAAGAAAAAAAAAACTGAAGAACAAAAAAACAAAGACGGCCGGCTTTCCCTTCGACTTTCCTCTCAAACCTTGACCACCCTATTTCGACTCGGTCCGAGTCCGCGGGCCCGCAGTCCAGCGCCGCATTGGGCCAGTTCGCGACGCAGATGGGGCCTGGGCGCGAAATGTCCGCAGGGGGGCTTTTGGCCTTTCAAGCCCAGCCCCCAAAGGGGAGGCAAAAAAACAAGCAAAAAAAAACATGACACACCTCACTGGCTGGAGTGGATGGCCAAAGGGCCAAACTTTACATTGACCACTAAAATGGTCCTCCCAAAAAAGTTTGAAGTTCATGAACTCAGGAGGTGAGTCACACTCAACTGTAAGTTTGGGACATGCTGGCATGGCCCAGCATCTTAGCTAGATCTTCGATTAGCCCAGTTCTCGAAAACTTCGAAAACGTTTTTTGTTCCCCCCGCAAGGTCAATTCCACACGGGGACCTAGCGGGTAAGAGTGCAGGATGCCCAAAATGACCCTCCAAATGGTGGCTTGCAGGGACCACCCCCAAAAAAGTTACATTGGACACCCCTCAACATGCAACCGCTTCAACCTATCAAAATGATAACTTCAGCCCCTCCCCCCTGTTCAAAGCATGGACAAAATGTCTGCCAACCCCCCCCCCCCCCGCCCACCCCTCGAACCAAACCCCCCCCCAAAAAAAATGCTCCAGAATCCCCCCCCCCCCCCCACCATCCCAAATCCCGAATCTTCCAGGACCCACCCACCCCACCCCACCCGAGTCCCCGTAGGCCCCCTTGGGCCCCCCGGCACGCCGGGCGCCCCTCCGCAGGCTCCGCAGAAGAGGCCGGCACCAGGCGCGCCCTGCAAATTCGACTTCTTGGGGCCCACATCTTTCTCAGCGTTTCTTGGGGCGCAAAAGAGAAGAACCACAGCGTGTGGTTGAAAACATGCGTTTTCAAACAGCGTTTCGTTGAAGAAGAAGCGTTGTTTTCACACAGAGTTTGGCTCAGTTTAAGGGAACAGATCTCGAAGTCGGGGGATCTCCCAGGTAGATTCCAGGCGGTTTGAGCTTAAAACACGCCCAGAACAGATACAGCACAAAGAAACATATCTATATCTGAACCCATGGTCACTTTGGACCAGGGCTGTGGGAAATGACCACTTCTGTGATACAACAGAAAGGGCCTCCCAAAGACAAAACCCCCATATAAAGAGGGGATTTCCTTGTATCACAGAAGTGGCGATAAACCACAACCCTGCTTTGGACCCTTTGCGATCGATTGGTTTCATGGAAACAACCCCTGACCCAACTAAACCAGCCAAACCAACTAAGCCGGGAAAGGAAAAGCTAATAATGAGAATAAGAACAAGAATAAGAATAATACCAACCAAACCAACCAAACCAACCAAACCAACGAAACCAACTAAACCTGAAACAATGACTCAAAATAATGATAATAACAAGTAACCACCAAGTGAGGTAAACCAGCAAGAACAGTAAACCAGCAAGTAAAGTCCACCAAGGGCATAACGTCGGAACCACCAAGTAAAGACAGACGCCCGCTCTCGGAACCACCGATCCCCAGCTCAGCTCGCGGCGCAGGCGCCGAGGGCGGCACGGGGAAGATCTCCAGCAGCGCCTGGAATGGGCCGTGTCGAGGCGCAGGGCCGCCCGGTTTTTGTGGAGTGGTCGGGTAAACCAACTGCCGGGGCGGGGAGGGGGGCGGGGGGCGAAGGCGGTGAGACCAACCAGACCGGGGGGGGGGGGGGTAAAACCAACGTAGGCGCAGTGGTGGGGCCTGACCGGTCCATTTGTCCGTTTTAGAGGCGGAGTGGTTGGTGGTGTTGGTGGTGGTGGGGTAGAACCAACCAAAAAGGGTGGTGTTCTCCCAAAAAACAGACACCCAAATAAGGTTGGATTTTTGGTTGGTGGTGAGGTAGAACCAACCAAAAGGGGGGTGTTCTCCCAAACTGTACTCGGCCTCCCTTCAATTGGTTGGAGCCCTGTGGTTCGGTGGTTCAAGGGAGGGTTCCCATTTACCCTGTCCAAGAACCAGACCCTGTGGTGGCAATAAAAAAGGAACCCTAAAAGGACGACCACCATATTTAACTTTTCCGTGCGGGGTCGGTTCTCCTGGTGGTCTTCCTGTACACTCTGGCTAAACGAAATCCACTTTGCGCCACTGGGAACCCATGGGAAACCATTGTTTGTTGGTGTTTGAAGGGAATTACGTCCAGGATTTCTTTGAACCAACCTCAAAGCCGGGTACTAGACGATTGAGATACTCCTGGAGGCTAGATGGCGAAACAATTAACGCAATTGCCAAAGTCTGGTAAGTAGGATATCATCATGGGTACGGGTCCACCCCCATTCAACATGGAACCCCAAAAAGAGGGTCCAATTCGAAGGAGTGGGAGACCATTGTTGAGTTTACAGAGGAATTATCATCTCAGGGTTTCTTGGCCGGTGCAAAATGGTTTTCGTCCATCCACAGTAGGGTTCAGCCGATTCCCACTAAAAGGAGGAACACCTCGGGGCAAGCAACAAAATGGTTTTGGCCCAGATACCCTACAGTACAACCGATTCCCATAAGAACGGCAATCAAGGGGACCCAGTTTGGATGACAATCCTCGAACCCAACCTATTGTTTGAATGGTGGCAATTGAATCCCAGGGTTAAGGAAAACAAAAGGAGAACCATCAATTTGGAGGGTCGCATTCAACAAAGGACTCATGTAGTTCTGCCAAAGAAAGCTCAGCTTCCCTCTTTAAAACATCAAAACATCACCTACAAGAGTTTGGTATTTTTTTGTCGGCCACAGGTTTGAACCAGGGCCCGTTTGTTCGACCCCAGGTTGGTCAGATTCCCGGGATTGGTTGCATTCTACCCCAAAAAAGACAGAAGTCCAAATCCTAAAACCACCGCTCCAAAATAAAAGCAAAGCAAACGCAAAAGCCTGCTCCAAACCGCCACTCCAAACCGGAGAAGAAAAGAAAAACCGAGCGCCGTCCCGAAACGAAGGCCCCTCTTGGACCGGCCGATCGCGCTGCTGGCCACCTCCTCAGACTTCTCTAGTAAGCGATGGCGATTTGCCTGCCGCGTCCTTCCTGGTTCAAAAATGGCAGGGGGTCAAAAATAGGAACCCTGGTAAATGGAAACATGGATTAAACCTGTGGTCCCATGGTGGTTTAATTTTGACCCATACCCAAATGAGCGAACGTTGGCAAGCCTTGCGCCTAGCGCCTTGCGTCTTGCGCCTTGCGAGAGGGAAAAAGCGGGACGATATTATAAAAAAGCGCCTGGAAACAGGTAGCGACTGGGGAAAACACCCTTGACGGAAGCCCACGAATCGTTCAGGATGGTTCCAGCACTTCTCTCAAAACGGAGAAAAGAAAACAAACAAAAGAAAGAAGCCCTTACCCTCCACATTGCCATGAAAAACGAGAGCTCTCCGATCCCAGGAGAAGCCCAGCCCCACCCCTCCCCTCTGTCGCTCCAAGCCCTGGCCTGCACAAGGCCCGGCGGCCTCACCGTGCGCGCCTCCTCTCGAAGCGTCGGAGTCGGTGCGGACGAAAACGCGCCCAGTGGCGGTTCTCGGTTGCGAAATCTGCTGCCCTGATAGGAGCTTTTCTCACTTTTGGTGGTTTAATGGAAGACCCAGTAGGTTGAAGTCCCAACATCCCTTGGCAACATGCACCAAAGAGTTGGCACCATTCCGGCCTCTCCACATGACCCGCCAGAGACATGGTCCCTTTTGTTTGCAAATTGTCTAAACCAGCGTTGTTTTGGTTTTAAACGCTTGGATATTGAACGGCTATGGTTGGATATTACCATCTTGTTGTGGTTGTGAAATTCAGGCCACCACTTTCAAGATCAATGATTAGATTAATATTTCAGCACCAGTGTCTACCTAAGGATTGCCATCATCTAAATTGGAACCCCTTAGGTGCCATTCTTTAACGGGAATCGGTTGAACCCGGAGGTGTCTGTATAAAGTTTACTTCCGAAACCATTTTGTTCCTCCTTCCCTCGAGGATCGTCTGCCCTGGTTTCAGAGGAAAAAGGAAAACCCCCCATTTGTAGGGGATACTCAAAGGGGCATTGTACTGGGTAAGTGGGCAACAACCATGGTTCCACCCACAAACGCCGCCATGCCTATAAGTCTCCCTTTCTTAGGTTATAACCTTCAAGCATCCCTTCCCAGCAAATGGGTCTGTCTCAAAATAGGGGTGCCCCCAAAAATTTGTGGTTCTCCTTTTGGTTTCCCCTCAAAACCGCAAAAAAAAAAGGAGGAATCAGCTGCCCCTTTGTGTGGAGCGTCCCATCCCTTTGACAAATGCCCGCGCACTCGGTCCCCAGCGAGCTCCGGAGGTTCCAGCGGAGCTAGCGGGGGATACCCACAGCACTCGCCGAGCTCGGACCTGCCGTCTCTCTGAAAACTTGCGCAGTGTTCAACAGAAACCAACGAAGGAAACATCGAGGCCCCTATGTCTGCTTCTCTTCAACTTGATCTGGCTTCAGGAGTGAACTTCCTGGCAGAATGAGTCTTCCGCCGTGGATTTGTCAGCCGAAACCATACTGTGGATTGACGAAATCCTGCACCACCTAAGGAACTGTGGGATGATCTGATTGCCCTGTAAACAGTCAATGGTTTCCCATGCTTTCCAAGTGGTTCGAATGGACTTCGTCCATCCACAGTATTATGTCCAAAGAACCCTTCAATTTGTCAATATTATCGGGGCTTATGAGAACCGCCAGCTGTCCCATCCGAAAGCTTGCAAACAACCATTCAGAGCTGTTTGTTTTTTGAGGCCAACTTTGTCAGGTTGATTTTGGGGGAACCAAAAGGAAAACCATTCTTGGCATACCCCGAAATTTTGAGACATACCCATGTCGCTACTAACCGGAGGTGGCTTACCGAGGAGACCAAATACGCCCTTGGTTGTGGCAAGTTTCACGTCTCGGTTGGGGCCAAAAATCCTCATGTAGCACCGACAAACATCGCCTTCCCCAAGGTCGCATTGGGACCAAAACGACTTTATCTCAACATTCCCTCATTCCCGAACGTTATTGGAAAAAAATGCACAAAAAAAGACTCCTTTCCCAAGGCTCAGTCGGGATCCTAAAAAAGAATGACACGGGCACATCTTCTGAGCATCCCGAAGCGAGCGAGCCGCGAGGAGAACTCTCAGCAAGCCTGAGCTCGTGCATGAAGGGCCGACAGCCCCCGAAGATCACCTTCACCGCCAGGTAAAGAGCCGCGACCACCTCATGGCGCTGAACGAACGAGTCAAATTTGGCCCCCACCTACGGGTTCATCCATAGAACCCCTGGAATCTCCTGGTTGAGAAGGGAGATGTCTCCGGAACTGATCCGGATAAGCTTGAATGGGATTGACAGAAATCTCGTGTCTGCGCGGCCCGTTTTCTGATCCCCCGCCAAAAGTGACCAACTTTTGGTGGGTTAAATTCGGAAACTACCACTGAACACTAAAAAGCTAAAAGGCTAAGGAACCGGTTTGGCCTTCGGGAGCCATGAAGGTGTGTGTGTGTGTGTGTGTCCAAATTGGGTATGGCACCGAACGATCGAAGAAGAATGGGTGACGTCATCCCACAAGAGGTTGGGATGCCCAACAAGTGGCAACATAAAAGGAAACTCTAAATGGGTCAAGAAAATACCCTTGAACATGCCCGTTAAAAGGTTGGTTGAAAGGGAATGGAAAAGAAAAGCTGGCCGTTTTGGGGGTCCCCTTATTTTGAAACAAACCCAATGGTGTCCTTTGGGTGTCCTTCAAATACAACTCAATAAGAGTGCAAACACACGCACACAAACAAACACACACAAGCAAATGCGAACAAACATCCAGTCGCACAACAAGCTCATAGAAACGTGCAAAAAAAAAAAAAAACGTAAGTTGCAGGCGACCGCAAGATGCACTGAGCTGCCAAAACAGCCCAACAAATGAAATGCCCTTTCATTTACTGGGCCACAACCCCTTTCGGTGAGTGTGGACCCACCCCGCGTTGAGCAAAATGCTCCTTACATGCGCCTGTCTCTGAATGAAGGAACCCCAAATCTTTGTGTTTCCATTGGGTCCTTTCTTTGAACAAACGACGGAACTCCAAATCTTCGTGCTTTTTCCATTCCCTTTGAACAAAAATGAAGGAACTCCAATCTTTGAAGAAACATGAAGGAACTCCAGATCTTTGTGTTTTTCCCATTCCCTTTGACCAAAAATGAAGCAAGTCTTGGTGCTTTTTCCATTCCCTTTGAACAAAAATGAAGGAACTCCAAATCTTTGTGTTTTGTTCCATTCCTTTTAAACAAAAATGAAGGAACTCCAAATCTTTGTGTTTTCCATTGGGTCTTTTCTTTGAACAAACAAAGGAACTCCAAATCTTCGCTTTTTTTCCATTCCCTTTGAACAAAAATGAAGGAACTCCAAATCTTTGTGTTTTTTTCCATTCCCTTTGAACAAAAATGAAGGAACTCCAGATCTTTGTCCCGACAAAGGAAGCCAACCTTTGCTGCCAAAGGGCGACCACCGCGAAGGGCAAAATCCTGAGGCCTTCTTCTTCAGCGCCCAGCAGCACGTTTCCCATGGCTCTTTTCTTGGTTCTCAGCAGGGAAATGAGGGAGAAGATCTTTGAGGGGGGAGAAGGGAGCCGGGAAGGGGGGGGGGGGGGGAAAGGGGGGGGGATCCACAAAGGTTTCGAGACAAGGATACTCATGGGGGAAAAAATCTCCACAAGTGGTCTGAATCCAATCCGTTGCCCTGGGTTTTCGGAGACTAGAAAGAAGATCCCAGCAGGCGGGAAATGAGGGAGAAGATCTTAGGGGGGGGAGGTGGGCACAGATCTTAGTGGGGCAAACTGTGGAAAAGATCGTAGGGGGGAAAGGGGAGGAGAAAATCTGTCAACAGGGGTTTTGAGATCAGGATCCCCGGTGCATGAAACTGCAAGAAAGAGTTCCCATCGAGTTTTTCTTATTTTCTTCTGAGAACCGGCAAATTTTGGTGGGCGAGCTGGGCAGAAAAGTGTTTGTCAGCGTCCTGCTGTGTAAGGCCCGAACCTGCAAACAAATCCTGTTCAAGAACCACACCTGAGTTCCCTGACGGAGGTGACTTGTCTCTGGGACAACCACCGACTAGAGCCGCAAAACGAGCAAGAGCAATCAATGAACGGCTGACCTGACTGTTGCGGCTACAAATATTAAGGCGGAACAAAACCTACCACCCAAAATGGTCATTTCAACTGAACATGGCGCGCCAGGGCTGGGTAGAGAGGGTTTTTTTCCTGGGGCTGGTTTTTTCCTAAGCGCAGGCTAGCAACATCCCTGGCATCACCAATCTCGCCTTTGAATCGCCCATTGGTCTGATTGGGTGGCAATTAGGAGTTGGAGTTTGAGTTGGAAAAAATGCTTGGTTGATTTAGACATTCATGCGTTCAATCTTGGGGTGGTTGGGAGTAATTTAGGCAAAACGAAGGGTGCTGTTGGGCGGATTTAGGGTTGACGGGAGGGTGTGTTGGGTGCGGTGCTGGTAGCGGTGTTTTTAGCGTTGCTTTGGGGAAATGGTTGCGTGAGTTGTGGAATTTCAAGTTTCGGTTCCGCTCCCAGAACCAACATATTTAAGAAAAAATCCAACACAAACCAGCCAGTTCCCAACCCAAAATCCACGCCAGTCAACGCAACAACCCACCAACCCACACCCACCCACCCACCCACCCACCCACCCAGCCCAGCAACCAATCAACCCAGCCCAGCAACCAACCAACCCAGCCCAGCAACCAATCAACCCACCAACCCAGCAACCAACCAACCCAGCAACCAACCAACCCAACCAACCCACCAACCCAGCAACCAACCAACCCAGCAACCAACCAACCCAACCAACCAACCAACCCAGAAACCAACCAACCCAGAAACCAACCAACCCAGCAACCAATTAACCCTTAACTAATCCAGCAACCAACCCACCCAGCAACCAACACCCACACCCAGAAACCCACAGCACCCACCCACCCAGCAACCCACCCACCCAGAAACCCACCCACCCGCCCTGTCAAATCACAACAATGACATTTGTCACAGAAACGACGACATGTGGAAGCAAGGGCTTTGGACTGGCGGCAGCGCCCCGAAGGTCCCACACTCAGTTGGCAACTCCGCCTCTCTCTGCAGCACCTGGCCTGCGGTTCAAATCCCGGCGATGGAAACGATGACATGCAGCAACAATGACAAGCTTGGCTGGCTGCCGTGGCACCCCATTTACCAAGAATGCCGGATTTTTGTGCAAATTTCCACCCCGCGCAAAACAAGCTGCAACTTTTCCACAGCAGGAGATTTGCCCAAAAGTGTGATTATGCACTTTGTCGGGCCAAAACGCAAAAAAATCGTTCTATGTAGCAATTGACAAGGCAATTCTGTGCCCTACAAAGAATTGCAGGTCAGTTCTAGACACGTTTGCGCACCAAAAAGCTTGCTTGGAGTAGTAAGGAACATAGGCCTATAGGTACCAAGTAATTTTCGTTTTTGGCCCGAAAAAGCTGCCAAAACGGCCTTTTTTCCATCCTGCCGAGCTTGTCACCAAAAAAGTCACCCCTATGTCACCGCTACCTTTTGGGTGGAAAAAGTGCACAAAACGGCAAACTTCCCGAATTCCTGAAACCTCGTTCTTTTCGGTCAGACAGCAAGTACGGGGCATAGGCCTGTCGATTTGCGCGTTTTTGGCCGAAAACAGGGTGCTGACACGTACGCCCCTCTCGATTTTTTGGCCCGAAAAAGCAGCCAAGATCCATCCTGCCGAGGTTGTCACCCTTTGTCACCGTTTTGTCACCCCTAGATTTTGGGCTGAAAAAAGGACGCTAAACGGCTAATTTCCCGACTTCCCGAAGACCTCGTTCTTTCGGTCCGAAAGTAGTAGGGTAGTTTTTTTTTGTTTTCGGCCAAGCGCAGGGTCCTGACACGCCTCACCCCTAGCTTTTGGGCCGAAAAAGGGCACAAAACGGCCAAGCCCAGGGCTCAAAATCACGGCAATGTTGAGTTCATTAATGGGCAAAGGTAACCCGGTACACGACAGCCTGCCGAGCTTGTCACCCAAAGCAGCCTGCCGAGCTTGTCACCCTTGTCACCGGTATGTCACCGCCACGGTTTTTCGGCATGCGTCGATGTCACCGTTTTGTCACCCCCCGGGATTCGAGCCCCGGAATCCTGCAAATCGCAGAGCTTTTGGGTGCCACTGGCAGCCTGCCGAGCTTGTCACCCTTGTCACCGGCTTGTCACCGCTTGTCACCGGGCACTTTTGGGTGGAAAAACGCAGCCTGCCGAGCTTGTCGCCCCTTGTCACCGGTATGTCACCCTTTCTGCGACAGCCGGTTTTGCAGGGATTCGGCACGGTTTTTCGGCATGCATCGATGTCACCGTTTTGCCACCAGGATTCGAGGCGCCGTAGGTTTTTCGAGGTCTCCCACGGTCCGTGTCACCCCGTGACACAAGCTATCTTCCAAGCTCCGATTGCAAAGGTCCAAAAGCAAGGCCGGCTCCGCGGCTTCGGTCCAAAAGCAAGGCTGGCACGTTTCTCGCATGCGCGCAAAACGACTCAAGGGCTGCTGTGACATTACAACAAGGTTGCCACAAATTCGTACCACCCCGCGACCTGACTTCGGTCAACCCGCAACCTGACTTCGCTCAGTCCTAAGAAAACATGTTTGAAGAACCAGCATCCCGGAGGTCCTGGACAACGGAGAGCCAACGGAAGGCACGCACGACGCCCTACGCGCAAGGCGGACCTGGCCCGTGAACATGGCAGCATGGCAACAACACAGCAGCGACCTTGGCAGAGAGCAAACCAATCTGAACCCCCACAAACCAATCTGAACCCTCGCACCAACCAATTTGAACGACCATTTTGAACCCCACAAACCAATCCGACCCCTTTCACAAACCAGCTTGAACCTGGTCCCACTCTGCATAGCTTGAAAGTGGCGCTGCTTCCGCACAGCTTCGCCTGCCAGAGGAGTCCCGGCGTCAGCAAGGACATCACCGTCAACTACAGCCGGGACGACACAATCGCAAGCCTCTGGGCACAGGCAGATCGTCATCAGGGTAAGGGTGGCGCCCTACGAGACCCTGGTGCACAAGTTTTTATGCTCTGGCGTGGAGGAAAGGTCGTCTGAGAGAGTTCCAACCCTGGGTTAAACTATTGGGGGCCCCCGGGGGGGAGTTCCAACCCAGGGTTGGAAACTAGTTCAACCGAATCTTCAAGCTGGGACTGAACTTTGGAACAGAAACAACACAAACAACAAAAACCGACAAAGAGGAGAGAGCAGCGCAAGCCAGGTAGCTGCGCAAGAAGCTGCATCTTCCAGCGATTCCGACACCCCGGACTCGGAAGAGGGCAACCCACACAATGTTCATCCGCAACCTGTCTAGCAGCTTGCAATGGGCGCAGCAGCGCCGTGCGTTGCATTGATCACCTGGCCAGGAGCACCTATGCAAGCACAAGGCTTGCCAGCACGCTTTCTCGCTTATGCCATGACACAGAACGCCCCAACTGGACGCATGCCTCTTCTTTGCCCAACGGCAGGGGCCTACTCCGTCAAGCTCGCCCGCTCAGCATGCCCGCACCTCAGCACCTCGAGATGACGCGTTGGTCGACATGCTCCTTTTTTTTCCAGGACACATCGCTTTTGCTCTCCAGTCATAGCACGTTAAAAAAAACATCAAGCGACACAGCAAGCGCAGTGGCCAACGTCCGAGCGCGGATACGCTCGCCGCATTTCCTTGGTCTGGATCCAACCTGAGTACACTACTCGGTTACGCGCCTGCAGAGATTTGGACCGACTGGAGTGGCAGCGGACCTGGCCTGCGTGGGGCTGGGTCGTTATTTTGCAGCCACGCCTGCACGCAGCGTTTTAGGTTTTGAATTCTTCGCAGGACAAGGTCGTTTCCTGGACGGACAAGTGCTAGAAGCCTGTCAGATGGAATAGAATCCATTTGGAAACCCCCTCTAAAGAGAGAGCTTGGCCTGCTCTGCAAGGAGAGTGCCCTGCAAAGAAGCGTGCTCTGCAGAGGAGAGTGCTCTGCAAAGAAGCGTGCTCTGCAGAGGAGAGTGCTCTGCAAAGGAGAGTGCTCTGCAGAGGAGAGTGCTCTGCAAAGAAGAGTGCTCTGCAAAGAAAAGTGCTCTGCAAAGAAGCATGCTCTGCAAAGAAGCGTGCTCTGCAAAGAAGCGTGCTCTGCAAAGGAGAGTGCTCTGCAAAGGAGAGTGCTCTGCAAAGTAGCGTGCTCTGCAAAGAAGCGTGCTCTGCAAAGAAGCGTGCTCTGCAAAGAAGCGTGCTCTGCAAAGAAGCGTGCGCTGCAAAGAAGAGTGCTCTGCAAAGGAGCGTGCTCTGCAAAGAAGAGTGCTCTGAAGAAGCGTGCTCTGCAAAAGAGAGTGCTCTGCAAAGAAGCGTGCTCTGCAGAGGAGAGTGTTTTGCCAAGAAGTGTGCTCTGCAAAGAAGCGCAAGTGTGCTCTGCAAAGGAGAGTGCTCTGCAAAGAAGCGTGCTCTGCAAAGGAGAGTGCTCTGCAAAGAAGCGTGCTCTGCAGAGGAGAGTGCTCTGCAAAGGAGAGTGCTTTGCAAAGGAGAGCTTTGTCTTCACCGCGCTCACCA